AAAAATCAGAACGAATTCATTTCCAAGAATAAGAATCATACATTATGAGGTATCTGTTGAGAGAAAGTATTACATATAACAGAGTCTTTACACTGCCACTATGGTCTAAGATTAATCCAACGAATTGTGATGATGAGCATTACAAAATTGTGCAACATTCAACATCACAATAATTAAGTTGGCATTTTTGATTCCATTTTTGAGGCAATCATTTGACGAATCGTCTCATATTTGGAATTCGATGGGTAGCAAACTTTCAGCAGTTCCTCAGCTTCATAGCAGCTATCGCATGACTTGCGACAATTCTCGAGCATCCACGAATTTTTCGTACATTCACCAATATTTTTCCATTCCGGGCATCGAGGATGATAGTCGTCACAACCTGTCAATGAGTTAATTTCTTCATTTTCATACTTGGAGGCGACCTCACTTGGTAGAAATATTTGCGGAAGTGAAATTCTTAAAATGTCTAAAGCACAAACTGCACTGAATGTGATGATTTCGGAAGGCAATCGGACATTCCTATGAATTTGAAGATTTCAGAGTAAAAGTCGACAAGTAATCTGATAATCAACATGGATTACCTCCATATTCATAAGTGTCTGGTGTACAAAATCCGCAAGTGACACGACAATGGCATGACATCCAGGATGTGTGACGTTTGCATGCACCAGCTCGACCCCATTCTGGACAACACGCATAGTCATTGTAACATCCTGGCGCGATATTACAACTGGGCTCATGATTTTGAAGAGCTGCAGTGAATGATTACATGAGAATTAAAATACGTATACCATCATTCAAATATAAAACCGTTGTGCATCAGACAATTGAAGTGCTTAAATCTTCTTTGTTGTTCGAGATTCTGCATTAGTTCGGGGTTTTGACCAAAAACAGCTTAAAATTTCGAGAATTTCGAACTTATAAATGGCTTTCTTTTAAAATCAACATATCCACTTCAAGGATGTTTCTCGGTAAGTCATTTTTGATGGCGCTTTGAGAAGCTGCTCATCGGATTCTGAGACGGTAAAAGTGATCAGCATGAACAGCTGTAGCTTGTGAGAACTGATCAGACTTACCATCCCATGGTTGTGCTGATCTCGTACAAAAGCAAGTTTGATTAAACTGCATAGCTTATTTGTCATTTCATGTATGCTGAAACGCTCTTGTCCTCACCTTTAAAGCATTGTTCCTCGCGGGTCATATTACATTTTTGGCAACTCTCTCGACAGTTCTCAGTCATCCACATTTCATTTGCTTCACATTCACCTCGGAGTGCCCATTGCCCACATCTTATATGTCGA